AGAGACAAAAGAAAAAAATAGAAGAGGCTGAAGAAAGTGAGGAAGAAACCTCTTCAGATGATTTGCTCTCTGAACATAAGGCAACTCTAAGCGAACTATTAACAGCTAAAGTAGCAACAAAAACAGCAGCAACAAAAACAGCAGTAGCAACAACAGCAATAGCAAAAATAGCAGCAACAAAAATAGCAACAACAAAAACAGCAGCAACAAAAACAGCAGCAACAAAAATAGCAATAGCAAAAACAGCAGAGGCAACAATAGTAGCAACAAAAATAGTAACAGCAAAAACAGCAACAGCAAAAACAGAAACAGCAAAAATAGCAGAGGCAACAATAGGAAAAAGTGCTGACAAACTAATGGAGATAGTAACACTAGCATTAAGTTCATTAAGGGGTAAATCACTCTCAATAGGACCTAGTGAACTATCAACATCAAAAAAGGTGGCCGATAGAACTAAAAAAAAACCAACTAAAAAAATATCTAAAGAAGATGATCTATTAATATTTGAAGCAGAAGAAGTTAAAAGTGAAGAAGTTGAAGATAAAGAAAGTGGAGAAGAAGGTAGAGAAGAAGGTAGAGAAGAAAGTGGAGAAGAAGGTAGAGAAGAAGGTAGAGAATAAGATGAAGAAGAAGGTAAAGATAAAGGAAAAAAGAAGAGAAAAAGAAGAGATGATAGTGATAAGAAGTTAAAAAGGAAGACAAAAAAGAGGCGATAGTTTATAAATGTATAATTTTTATTTTACTTTATGTATTTTAAGTAATAACTGGAGAATAAATAATATCAGCTATATATCACTATAAGTAAAAAAAAAATAAAGTAATCATTAGAGTGATAATTTAGTTAATATAAATATCAAATAAAATATAATTAATGATCTGATAATTTAATAATATTTGTATTATGAAAGAATAAATAAATATTGTTCTAAAAATATTTTGAAGATAAATAAAATCGGCTAACTGATATTTATAATATTATAATAATAATATTATTATAGAATATATTATGTTTCAGTAAAT